TTCGAAGCCACTCAGGTTTTTCTTCACCACAACCAATATTGCACTTTGTGATAATTCACTGCCCTTGCTGAGGAAACACATCCCCGAACCATGATGCTGCCACTGTCGTGTAATACCTGAGATGGTATGTTTGTCCTGGGATGTAGCATTAGCCTGTAGGCCATCAGTTTACTATTATTTTGTCCTCTTATATGGTTTCTCACAAACAGTTTTTGTTTTCCTATCTGAGAATCAGATTAGTAGAATGAGCATTTTATTCGTTGCCCTATCCAGATGGATAGACCAAAACATCAATTTCCAATATTTTATTTCTTGTATATGTTCAGAGAGGGGGCCTCCAGTCTCTTCTGTTTCCTGTAAAGTATTTAACTCAGAGCAAAGACGTTTAAAACTGTAAAACTTCAGCCTCTAATTAATGTGTTTATAACTCACACTTATGTTTCTCTTGCCTTTATGTGTCTTTTTTTCTTTTCTGTCACCGTCTTCTTTCTGTTCCTACATTAGGGATTAATTCTGAATGGAGCAGAGTGGAGGCGGTGGGCAAACCTTTGCTGCTCCCTCCATTTGTTACCCATTGTTATTTTTTTCTTTGATTTGTTCATAGATAATCTTTAAAATGTGGTAGTTGGCTAACATTTGTTACCACTGTTATTTTCATCATTTAAACAGAGGAGGAGAAAGCAATATTTACCGAATTAGCCTGAAAAATTAGGAGAGGGGATTGGTTAGACTGATGTCAAAATAATCGACTGCATAATAACCTGTATAAGTCAACCTGTAGTTCTATTAACAGGCTCTTCCATGTGAGCTCTGGATCTCTGCTGCTCCAGCCTTCCAGAGGTCAGAAGGAGAATGAATTCGGTCCATTTCTTTTCAATCATCAGGACTTACAGCAGCTACAGATGGTACTTTAGAAAGAAAGAAAACGTCCATAGATGGCTTTCCATTAACCTTTCTTAAAGAGAAGCTTAAGATCCTTTAATTACTGACACTCAACCGCATCATTCTTTGAAAAGGACGCGCCCAGCCTTGACACATGGGTTTACTGTAATTACAGATGACTGACTGGATATGTTGGCTGCTCCTCTCAGTTCACTTTAACATGCTCTCTATCCCCTCCGTTTAAAACCGCTCCAACATCCTGGCAAAGATAACAACTCAAATCATATCAACACAACATCTCCACCTTCAGGGGTTTTATTCAGTTTATATTAAACATTAAAGGATGAAAGCTTGAAATAACGTTCATATGGGTGACATATGGTGTTACCACCACACTGTATGCATGATTCAATAAAGGTTTTTTAAATATGAACTGACATATCGCTCCATTCAATTCTAACATTCTAATCAATCAAAAAATGCAGGGAACTGTAAGGAGTTCCTGTCTTTAATAGGACCGGAAAATGGGTGGAGCTAAATACCTGAAAATAACGAGGGCTAAATGTAAATGTACACTAAATTTTTTATACTTAAAGTCGTAGGGAAGCGGCTTTTCCAACCGTTACATTTCTGAATTCTCCGAGTGGTGCACGACTTTACACGTGTGAACAAAGTGAATATGATTGGTCGTTTATCAAGAGGGCACGTTTATTGTGGCGGATGGTTCGCAAGCAAGTTTGATTGTGGCCGGTGTCTCGGAAGCATTGTTGCTAACCAGTTAGCAACTTAGTGCTAGTAGGTTCCCAATGGGAAATTCCATTGGGACCAAGTAGCACTAAATTGGTGACTTAGAAACGACACTGTCAAGGAACGCTATGGACAGAGGAAACATGCAAGAGGAGGAGAGTTTAGTGTCAGAGGTCGTGGATGAGTCTCCTCCGTCATACATCTTTTATTTAGAGGAGGAAAGCGGGGAGGAAGATGTTGTGGAAGAGGACGCCAGGGCGGCAGAAGCTTGGTTTGGTGTAGAAGGCTTCCAGCCGTACATGTTTGAGCCCTTTCCTCGCAACGCTGCCAGTTCTGTTAGCTCTACGCCTGCTGAAGACACAGACGTCCATCCCCGTGAACACTGGGACGGAACTCAATGGGAAAGGAAATGATTCTGATTTCAACCATTGCGTATATTATATATTATAATCAAGATGCTATGACCGAAACTATTTGATTGACAGATGACCGTTGATTTATGATTGGCTGAATTTAGGTGTTCAGGCTGACGTATAACTAACTGGCCTGTATAAGATAACAACAACAACAAAAAAAACAGATTTTTAGACAGGATTTTTTTTAAATAGAAATTTTCTAACTTTTGGGACATTATCATCTGATAAAGAGTACATTTATATGCATGTTTAAGCCAGAATGATTTGAAGTGTAAACATGATCTCCCTACAACTTTAAGAAAAAGTATCTATTCACCTTAACGATCAGGTAACCTAAAAAGAAAAAGAAATTCACCTAAAAATGACCAGGTAGTCTTTAGACATTAGTTTTTAAAACATAATGAACACATAAAGGTAAGGATGGGAAAGAGAACCTGGATAAATTCTGCTTATAAGCAAAAGTAAAATGTTAATTTCATCCTGGGCACCTTCCTCCCTGAAATCAAAGCACAATAGTTCAGAGCATGCTGCTTTAATCTTTAATGATTATGAACGAAAAAAAAGGAAGAAAAAAGAAAGCAGAGTCTAAAAGGGCATTCAGGTTATGCTCAGCGGGTGAGGGGGGCAGTACCTGGCTTTAATTTCAGCTGTCCTCCACCATTAGGACACAGCTCATATAGCAAGTGTAATCATCTGCAGTAGTGAGGCGCTGCTTCACAGCTGGCCCCCAGGCCAGTTCAAGCCTAACCCTGAACTGGAGCTTTGTAGTCGACACGCAGTAATATCAGCCTGGTAGTAAGAGGTTGTGTAGGAATAATAGGAAAAATAAAACACATTGCAGTGATAGGAAGATGGCGTTAAAATGTTTACCCACAGGGACGTGAAGGAGGCCACGCACCGTACCAGGAAGGACGGGGGCCCTGGTGAACGCAGAGCTGCGCGCAACTCATCAGAGTGACAGATTAAGCAGGGAGGAGGGAAAAAAAGGAGAAAAGGGGAGCGGTTAGAGGAGCGGAGGACAGAATGTCTCTGAACCATTTAAGGTTTTGGCAGGAGATGTCAGAAATAATCGAACGGCCTCTCCGACTTTAAGATACATTTTTCCAGTGACTATCATTCCTCTTTTTTTTTTTTCTTAACCGTCAGCCTTTGAAGTGAAGAACACATACTCCTCAGACTCTAAACTAAAGAAAGAGGAGAAGAAGAAAAAGCCATAAAACCCTCAACCAGCTGCAAGAAGAAAAGCAGGAGAGCAGTGATAGAAAATAGCTCTGGAAAGCTTTGTCCTGTGCGTTTAGACATGACCCGGCTTGTGTGATTTGCAAAAACATGAGCAACCATCTAATAGAGCATTGAGATGCTGGGCGTTAATGCACAAAGACATACATGCAGGCAGGGGGGGATTTACCATTAGGCAATACTAGGCAGTTGCCTAGGGCCCCATAAAACTCTGTTTACATGTACAGTTAATACAAATATTCCTTATTTGTGCACATTATGTTTTTGATAAAAATCCTTTGGCTAAAATGCCATCAGAATGCTTATAATATCAAATGTGTCTCAGCCCCCCCTTCAGTATCCACCATATTTGCTGCAGATGTCAGAAAGGTCCAAACAGACAGCAGCAAACCATTTGAAAACGGTGCGAATATCAGTGTTGTCAACTTAGCGCTTTTATTGGTATATTTTGCAACTTTTCAGACCCCTTTAGTACTTTTATTTCAAAAAAGCTCCTAGCGTCAAATCTAGCGAGTTTTTTCTGCTACTGGAGACTTTGGCAACAATATCTAAAAGCAGCAAACTCTGCTCTCCAGAGCAAGTAGATTGGTAACCCCGCATCCTGCTCTCCTCTATCTTGTCTGCTGTCATGATTCATGCAGCTATTATTTCATCCAAATGAAAAATGGAGAACAGATAAGCAGATCATGGCTTGTCTACAGTGAAAAGAAGGACTGGGTTATTTATTCCGTAAAAGTAAAAAAAAAAAATCCACTGGACTTGGTTTCCAAGATTTGAAGACGTTTCGCCACCTCTCTTATTTACTTTTGCCGTCACCTTTTTAAAAACACAGGAAGGAGCAATCAGCTAAGTGAGCTTATTGCTTGGAAAAAAAAATCTTTCATTCCTTTTGAGACGGCATGAAAAGTCAGCTGAGTTCAAAACATAGAGAGGAAAACTACAGGAAAAGGAACAAAAAGAGAGGGACAAATAAAGGATGTCTATCCTATTAAAATTCAGAGTGAGGGAAGGAAACGAAAGGTGGGGGTGCATTAATAAAAGAAAATGGTGCCTGAGTGAAAAAGCATGGATCTGTCACTTCACACGGCCTCTGAGCGTCTGAGTTTCTGAAACCCGATCCCATCGACGCCTCGGCCGTGAGGACAGATAGCTCTCGCCTGATTAGCGCAGCGGCCCCTGACTGCGTCCGGAAGCAGACAAAGAGGCTGCGGAGCGTCTGACAGCGGATACCCGCTTCACATCTTTTAATCCCTGTTCCTCCTTCCTATATGCCATCAAGGTTAACGTCTGACTGAACATAAAATACAGAGTGAAACACTAACTCTGCTGCCGAAGCATCTGGCTCAAACATCTGCACACGTTCCGGTTAGCTGACAGGTGATGGTCTTCCTGGGAATCTCCGTTTTCTCTGGAATGTGTCTGAATAAAGCGTTTTATGGTGCGTGTGTGTTTAAAGTCTGACTCTTTAGATAAAGACGTTCTTTGAAGGTTATCTGTGATGGGCTCTAAAGCAGTTACAGGCTTGTACCTTCAGAGCCACTCTGGAGTCCAGTCTGCTCTCAGCTCAACATCTGGTTCCTTCTCAGCTTTCCTCATTTCTCTGAGAAAATACAGATGAATAAAACATGTTATGATAAAATGTAGAGACCAGGATTTACCTGTTAGAAACAAGTCATGCGTGTTTTACCTCCATGTAGACCCCTCAGCTCGACCGTCTCTCTGGTTTCAGCGCTCTCAGCTATCAAAGGCTCATTTCTGCAATGAAAATTTAAAAAAAAGATGAGAACTTTACATCAGAAACGTAAAGAGAAATCGGCTGGTGACTGGAATCCAATGGTTTTCTACTGGACTGATCCAGACGGGCGAAACAGGAAATGAATATCAGGGCAAACAAACAGGAGGCAGCACTCTGCTATTCATTATTGGTCGCAGTAAAGGCTCATTTATACAGCGAAACCAGGTCGTATGCGTGTGTCGCAGTGAACGCAGAGACGTCCCCGCCCCTTCCGCAGGCACTCTGCTGCACCTCTCCAAAATTGTAGGTGACTGCAGACAGGAGGCCTCTGATTGGTCAAATCTACATCTGCTCTACGCTATGCGTATTTCCTGTTTGGTACCTTACTAGCTTGTTTTATTTGTATGGCCGCCATTGTGGAAAACGACCCATGAAGAAGGACCAGCTAGAAGAGCGAGGTGCGCGAGAACGCTGGGACCCTTTTTTTACCTGGATCCTCGCTCTTTTTCGCCCTCATGTCCCTCCGTTTTCGCACAAACTTGCCCCCAATTCCTCAGCGCTTCTGCCGTATCTAGATCCACAGCTAGTTCCTGATTGTTGCTCGTGTTGTGGCGTGGAATAACATAGCGCAGACCACTCTTCGAAAGTGGGCATAAATCAAAAATGTCTGTGTCATACCTGCGACAACTAACCAGCCCTTAAGTGAGGCCTGGTTAGCCTTTCTGGGGATCAGAGACTTGGATAATCTGCTGATTTCTATTTGGACTCCTTTGTCCGCATGATTAAAAATGACTCAATGATAACAGGAGAAGAAGCATTTACTGACAAATGAAACAAAACACTAGCAATGGCTGACTAATGAAGGGAGCAGCAATGTATGTGCTTTACGTGACTGTATGATATGGCTGCTGCATGCAGCAACGTATCGCTTTAACTGTAGTGGTTGCTTGGTTTTACCAACAACACTGGAAATGAAAACATTCATGAGGGAGAAATATTTTTTAAACATTTCTTTTTCTTGAGTAATGTCAAAATTTACTTTATGAACCTGAAGTGACCGCAGCTCATTCTAACGTAGACGGTGTTCTATTCAGAGGTGAAAGATAATCGATTTTAGTTTTTCCTAAAGGAGCAAATGTTGAAAATGTGTTTTGAAAACAGCTGCGACACTTTCCACCGAGATGAGCTGGATGACCGTTGTTTGCGTGAGCATCTGTTTAGTACTAGTTGTTTTCTAGAGACCCTTTAACCTTGATTTGATCAGTTTTAACCTGTTAAGAAGAACAAATAAAGAGAATAAATGACTGTTTTGAAAAACTAGAAGGGTTTTACTAGGTTTCACGCTTGAGAGAAAATAACCAGAGTTCATGTTTTGATGCAATGCTTGGGCTCGATGCTCCTCTAACTAGTCCTGTCTGATCTAATCTCCTCCTAGTAAAACTGATTCTTTATCCACATCCTTTAGTTAAAACCTTTGTTTTTAAATGTGATGGCCATAAATTACTTCCTGTTAAAAATCTCAGCGATCATTTTTTCATCAAAATGAAGGAAATAATAAATCCACAGAACATGTAAAGTGATGCATAGCAAAAGTTTTAATTGCTCTAATAAAATAAACAAAATCATAATTAATTGTTCTATTAACTGAAATTAATTGAAAATATGTCTGTATTAATTGAAAATGCAGATATATCAAAATATATCTAATATCTGCACCAATAGCAACAGTAGGTTGAAGTCATGTGACTCAGAGCTCAGGTGTCAAGTTTTAGAGAGTTGGTGCAGAGTTCAGGAAGCAAACACTATTTTTGGTCAGGAAATTAAATGTTGTATTTGGTTAGCATTAGCGTTAGCGTACAGAATGATTTAAACTGATCATACCTTATCGTACCTATCATTCTTAAATATACCCACAGAGTCTTTGAGCAGTAGTCGATGGTAGCACTTTAAATATTCAAATGAAGTTAGCACTAATTAAAAAAAAATGTTTAAGAAGATATGAAAAAGAGGGAAAATAAATCTGTTTTTTTGTTTTGCTTTTTTTGTTGTTGTTGTTGCTTAAGTCAAAATTTAACAAAGCTACATCTCAGAACACTTCCCAAGGCAACCAAATCCAAACCATTTGAAAGTCGTTTTAACTTCTTTCAGTCGGTCTTTTGCTTTTCTTATTTATATCCTCCATAAAAAGCACCATGGGTAATTCCGTAAACCTTGGCCGAGGTCTCCACCTGACAATCAAACAGGCGTGTGACGTAGTTGGCACCTCTGAGGCATCAGCCAACACCTGAAAGGAGAATGTTGACACTGAGGTGCAGCTAACTTTCCCTGTCGGTCCGTTTTAGTTCAGGTCAGTTGTTTTCACATGTCAGGAATCTTCTTTTTATTTCTCAGAAGGATGCATTGAGTTTGTACTGTTTGGTAGCAGCTTATGAAGCACGGCCCAGAAAAGGAGCGACGGCGCCCTGGAGCCATAGGAGGCCTGGAAGCTGCTGGCTACGCTCCTTTCAACACTATTGCCTCATTGCACTCTAAAGGTAGCAATAAGGAAAATATAAGGTGTTTATGTGTTATAGGATGTCCTAAATATATTAATTTGCTGAAAATCTATGCAAATCTATTAAGTAGATTAATTTTATTTAATGCTTTTGATGATTGAGTAGATAGAAGAGAGCGAAAGAAGACCACACACTGAAGAGAGTTTAGGACTGGGCAGCCGACCGAATTGTGCAGTGTCGAGTAATGAAAACCGTTTCTGTCCGAACCGTCATCAGTTCACTCATCGCTTTGGTCCAAACATTTTTATTCGATATTTATCAAACCAACGCTGTTCGGAAAATAATTTAGTTAACAAAAATGATCTTAATCTGAGACGAGCATATATAGTCATGGACTGGATTATCTAACCATGCTGGGAATGGCAAAACCTCAGGAGGAGATTCTCCGCCATTGGCCAGAATGACGCACTCAGACCTCTATAAAACTGACCATCTGTGTGTTTTAACTCAAGGCATATTGCAATTAAAAAGAGTAATAAACCCTAATTTATAGCCAGATTCAGAGTGCCGCATAGGGCTTTTGAAAATACACACAGAATCAATATTTGTGAAGCACTACTTGGCACGGGAACAGGCCAGCATTTGGAAATTAGAAACAGAGGCCAGCTGTTTCACTCCTGCTGCTTTAACGCATTAAAATATGAACACTTCTGGCTCAGTTTAGTCTACTAATTATGTCTGTTTTTCTTTAGGATTCCACATGGTGTTAGAAGGTTTAGAGGCTCATCTGTCCTGAGTCTTTGTCTCCCCTTTCAAATCTTCTGCACTTCTTACTTTTCTTTCCAAACGCAGAGGAACTTCCTTGTCTGGAAAAAAAAAAGGGCAGAGCTCAATCAAAACCTTTCTGTCAGAAGGAGAGGAGTGGGGAGAGGCGAGGATAGGACTGGGGGAGTAAAGATTTAAGGGAGGGTTAGTAGACAAACACAAAGTTCCTTTGAGGTAGACGGGAAGCAGAGGAAGAAGAGGCCAGTTAGTGAAGAGAAAAGACAAAGAAATCTAAACTTACGACGAACTGGATTGATCTGAAAAGGGAAAAAGACGAGGCAGAGGAGTAACACCTCAGGAAGGAGGAATTTAGCAGACAGATGTTTGTGAAATAATGAAAAAGAGCAGCAAAGTTAGCGTTTGCTCTTCAGGAAGAGAGAAGCCTTTGAGGAAGGGACCGGCTCCCCTTCAAAGGCCGGTCCCAATCCACACTGTGTACACGAGTGTGTTTGTGCATGTCGGCCTCCCAGAAGGGAAAACCTTCCCTTCACTCGCCGAGTATTCATTAGTAAGCTGCACGGCTATATAATGATGATTCATTAGAAGGTAGGAAACAAAGGATTAACAGCTAATGGAGCTTATCTAAAGCTGATATGGGTCAACATGATGTCGAAAGATAAAAACCAGAAATATGGCGATATGGTGTTGAATTTCTCCACGAGTCTCCAAGGAAAATCTGGACTTTTTTTCTTTTTTTTTACATGGGTGAAAATACTGGAAGTGTCTGATAACATCTGTGTGCCAAAAAACCTTTTGGCTGTCAGATATATAGATGCGGGGTAAGGAGGGAGTGATGCTGTGAGGAGGAAGGACGGAACAGGATGAGGGTAGGCGGGGGACGAGGGGAAAAGAAGAAACTCGTACTCAGACTTCAGAGAAGCAAACTCAGGACTCTGGAGACCATGGAGACATAAGAGTCACCAAAGCAGTTATCTGGAAGGACCATCGACAAACTTCTTTCACAGTTTGGAGGATCTCTATCAGCCAAACTTCCTCTCAGACGGATGAAAGTCATTGGATTAAGCAGGATGTGCTACAGTGGTCGTTTCTTCGTTTTCTATCTAATCTACTATTTTTTAAAACCAACAGCAGGGCCTTTAGCTTTGTTATAAGCTTAGTCTCGTCCAAAATAACATCACAGAGCCATGCCATGAAGCACGTTTCTAATATTAACCGTGTGTTTTCATTCCTGCTGGTACCTTATTTGGCCCAGATGTGAGGAATATGTGGAATAACTGCACAAACCTCAGCAAAGGTCAATTCAGCTATTCACCATTTATTAGGGTAGGCTTGGCTAGGGCCTTAAGCATCTGGTTGTTTCGTGACAAGTTCATTTGAAATGTTGGACAGTGCATAAAGAAAAGGATTTTAGATAGGAGCAGAGCACGACTTTTGGGATGCTACTTGGCAATCCTGTTAAGAACACATGTCCTTTAACCCAACTTTAGCCTAAAAGCTTAATTTGGTCATTCTAAGTTTCAGAAGACCACGCAGCTACAGCTCAAACCACGATGAAACGGCAGGGTTTAAAAGTTCACCGCTCACGATGCATGGTCTCACTGTGTGGCCCAACGCTCTGATGTGATCTACCTGCTCACACTACACATCCAAAAACCATACATCGGACTGAGCATCGAGTGATGGCCCTGGTCGGACGCGTCAATCTGGAGGAAGAAGAAGAACTCCCTTGTTTGCACATG